AAAGATAAAAGAGGAAAACCATTCCCATTCTTTGGAACTGGTTGCCAAATGTCTGGTGAATGGCGTCGTGAAGACCGTCTATGACGCTCTTATTGAACAGCCTGAGCTCCTGCTGAGGGACTTTTCCACAAAGCAGACCATTTCACTTCCTGGGACCCCCACGTCTTCAGAGTCATCTGAGGGTAAAGTTAAGAATTTACATCTTCAAAGACCAACGCTGAAGATTATGTATGAACCACAGCGACCCAAGAGCAGAGGGAAGGTTTCCATGGCCACTTTAGTGGACACCATGATGACTTCCCTGGATTTACAGGGCTCAGGTCATTTCATCTCCCTTGAAGAGTTAACTGCTGCAACCAATAGAGTGGACGACCTGGCAGCCACTCAGGAGTTCACTGAAATGGTGCAGCTCATAGTGAAGGGCAGACTGACTTCCTCTGACGCTGTTCTTGATGCGAGACGACGACTGAACCCCACTGATCTAGTGCAGAACTTAACGTCTGAATTTGTTGGCGAATTTGCAGAAGAGTCTGTAAAGCGTCTGCTCATGTCCTGCATTGTGCCACAACCAGCTTCCGCCTCCACTGAGGGTATACCAAGTCTGGTGATGCCCTCCAATGTCAGTCTTGAGAGCTTTGAGATTTCAAGACGCCCATCTGAGGTGTTTTCTGACACCATAGATTTGTTCACCAAAGTGATCGTGAACAACATAATGGACAATGTGTCGGCTCTGTCTGATCATGCTGTGGTGTCGAATGCTAAGAAAACAGCTGAAATTGACTCGCACAGCCCTGAACAGCTCAATCCAGGTTCTCCAGTCATTTCTGCGGCTGCTCTCCATCACTGCATACGTGCAGTATTACTGAAAGTCCAGGAGACGTCGTCCACTGGTGCCCGTGGATCTTCTGACGTTATTGATGATGACCAGATCCAGAAGGTTACAGACGATGTCAAGGCACTTCTGTCTGTTTTCACTGCTGTCACAGTAGATGATGGAGAACGTGCTATCAAAGAGCTTCACCACTCCATCATCGGCGTTGCATATACAGAGCTTCTTCGGAGAATTAGTCCCAAAAGTGAGATCATTGAAGCTGTAAAGGCCCGGACTCAGCTGTTGACAGGATCTCTGGCGATCTCCATCGTCAGGGCAATTAAAAGCACAGGCGCTAAAGACCTGTACCAGCCTCCATTGGTTCAGTCTGGTTCCTCTCCCTCTGTTAAAGAGGAACCATTCGTCCACAGCCAGACTACCAATGAGGCACAGGTAGCAAGCCAAGTCTCAAGCCGTGGCTTGGACACAAAGGGTCACGCCAGCCTGACAACTCTGCTGGCTAATCGTGTTCTGGCGCTGTCGGCAGCGCCTTCTTCGGCCCTGACGAAAGAAGAACTGATCGAGAGAATTCTCCGAGAGTTCTTTGCATCCTCTAGCGCTGCAAAGCTAGAGGAGGTTCTAACGTTCGATAAGCACCTTCAAAGGTTTGTGGAAGAAGGTTCCCTGCGCAAGGCCCTGGACCCCCGAGACTCTGCGTTCGACGAGGCCCTGGTGACTGCTTTACGTGAGCATCTTGATTCAGAAGCTCCGACTGCAGCGCCTAAATCAGAGGGAACGAAGGACGTAACCGTGAAGAAGCACAAGAGCTCATTCTTCCGACTAAAGATGCCAAAAATCTGCATCTTCAAAAAGGTAAGGAATTGTTTTGAAGCAGGTGGATCCAACAGTGCAGCTTCAACAAAGAAGAAGCCGTCCATTTTCACCAGTATGCTCTGCTGCTGTAGGAAATGAGCTGCATCATCCTTCTGCTCGATACCCCAGTTAGGCTGAAATTAAATCACCTATCACAGTTATCCTGACGACACCCAGCTTTACCAAACGACTGTGGTCATAGCAAATCCGGAGTCGACCAGAGGAGGATGGGTTCCCCTTCTGAGTCTTGGTTCCTCTCAAGGTTTCTCCCTCTCGCTCTTAGGGAGTTTTTCCTTGCCACTGTGGCCCTCGGCTTGCTCATTTGGGGTTCGGACCCGGATTTTCTCTTCATTTTCTCGAAAGCTGCTTTGTGACGCTCGTAAAAAGTGCTCTAGAAATACATCTTGAATCGAATTAAATCTATCAGTATTTCCTCCAGCTAAATAAAGACGGAAGGAACTTTATTTGGCAGTGAGGAGGAAAGACTGAAGGTCTGTGAGCACTTCAGAGCTCCAAAGACTAAAGACCGAGTCAGAATCCTGGGTGTACTGACGGATCCAAATTAAAGCTTTAATCCAGCTGGAAACTTTTGGCCCGAAACTGAATTTTGGCTAAAAACCTTCTAAAACCCCAAATGAAACATAAAAGGCCTTTTGGCTGCACTAATCCAGCTCGCCTGTCGCTCGAAGCGGAAATTGTATTATTTTTATTTATTTTATTTTATCATTTTATTATTTTTATTTATTTCCCCCCAATTTTATTGCACTGCTTGTCATTTTGCTTTTAATAATGTGAAGCACTTTGAACTGACCATTTTAAAATAAACCTGTAAAAAAATAAATTTGCCTCCAGAAATGATTTGGGTCAATCAATCAATCAATCAATCAATCAGTCAATCAGTCTGTCTCTGTCCCTGTTTATCTATCTATTTGTCCCTGTGTTTGTCTGTCTGTCTGTGTGTCTGTCTGTCTATTTGTCTATCTATATAGACCTACTTTGTATATCTGTCCATCTGTCTTTGTTGTAACACAGCATTAATAAATCTGCACTGAAATCTGTAAAATATATGTGTCAATGATGTATCAGATGTGGCCTACAGGCAGACACGCCCCCTCACAGTCATAAACAGTGACAAAATGAACAATCGATAAATGATTAAACAGAATCAAGAAAACAGGAAAAGTGAGAAGATGAACAATAAAAAGAATCCAGTGAACAATAAATAGTAGCAATATAAGGAGACATTTTAATTAATTCATTGATTAATTATGACTCCAATGTCCTATTACCATTTTTGTAAGAAGACTTGCTTCATTAACTCATTTTAGGTGAAAATACTCCAGTGTCTCTCTTGGTAAACCAGTCTTTTAGTAGAATGTCATTAATTAGTGACGCTGATGTCTATTAAAATTATCATCAGCACAAAACACTGAAGGCGAACAGTTTCCATCAGGTAGAACTGAGTGGCTCTGAAATCACTTTTTACAAACAAGCAAAGTTTCAGTTTAAAATTTATTTGCAGCTTAGTTTAAATAAAAATTAGTTTAAATTCAAACGTTTACACAAAGTTAGGTTAGTTCATCATTTATGTTGAATAGACCCAAAATTTTACGCTGCTGCACTGATGTTGAACTGTGTGCTGCACTGGGTCGGTATGACCAACAGGTCAAAACAAGCTCAAAACAAAGTGACCGCTGTGCCCTGATTGGTGTTCTTACTTTGCGCTTCTTTCGTTTTGACATGTTACGTTTTTATTCACACATAAACCAAAAGGAACGACAGATTTCTCATAATGTAGTGGAGTAAAAAGTGAGATATCTGACTGTGAAATGTAGTGGAGTGAAAGTAAAAAGTCGCCCAAAATGTAAAAACTTCAGTAAAGCACAGATACAGGAAAAAACTACTTAAGTACAGAAACGAATTACATTTACTTAGTTACTGTCCACCACTGGTTATTAGTGAAGGTGTTTAGCTGGTATTAAAAGATTTCTGTTTATCATGTTGGAGGCCTGGGGTTGAAGCCCTTGGTCCCGACAGTTACATCATCATACACCAGCTAGTGAAATACGTTAGACCATTGCTTTGGGGGCCGCAGTCCCGGCAGAGACAGGAGATCATTTGCAACCCAGTTCTTGTGGTACCACCAGGTTCTGTTGCTCTAACCCATCTTTCAGTTCATCTGTATCAGGTATTGAGTGTTTCGAATGGTGGTTCAGGTATTTTGGGAGCTGCTGGCCCCAATAAATATTGTGTGTACTGTACAGTGTACAGTTTGGGTCAAGATCGTGAACAGTCCCAACCAGTGAGTCAAACAAGCAGCCATGAACAAGCACAGTTATTAGATTAAGAGACCCTTATTAGTCCCACAACGGGCAAATCTGACCTCCACATTTTGACCCATCCGTGCAGTGAAGCACCACATACACACTAGTGAACACACACACTAGGGGGCAGTGATCCAAACTTATCCAAAGCGGTGGGCAGCCCTATCCACAGCGCCCAGGGAGCAGTTGGGGGTTAGGTGCCTTGCTCAAGGGCACCAAGGGCTCAAGGGCACTGTCAGCTCAGGGGATCGAACCAGCAACCTTCCGGTCACAAGACTAGTTCCCTAACCTCCAGCCCATGACTGCCTCCATACCTTACAGCAGTGCACTGGTATTATTAGCTGTATGCACTGCATATCAGAGTACTGTTGTTGCCTCCTATTTTCAACATTTCTTCCATATTCTTTCCATGCAGTAATGAGTTAAAAGGCAAGCATGGGCACAGAAGACGAATGTATAGTTATGAAAATATTTTTTTATTTATTTCCTAACTTTAATGAAAATATACAAATCACTCAGGACACCACTTTCACAGGAAGGCAGGAAGTTCCACAAACACACATTATTGCATTAGCTGATGGGGGAACACAAACAAATCCACACGACACGGCCCGCTGGAAAGGAAAACACTGAAAAAAAAATGCAAAAAGCAAAAGAGCAAATAAAAAAAACAGTTACAAGATGCATAATTCACAACTGAATTAGCAAATAGAAACATTTTGTGAACTTATTGCCAAAAACATCAGTCGTTTCCATTTTATTTGCGTCATCAAAAGATAAACTGTGATAAAATATACTCTGGGCAGTTTGGGCGTCACGCTAATGTAAATCAGCATACAAATTCATTTCTCAAAAAGCTTGAATATTGTTTTTTTTAAGTTAAAATTAGTCTAAATTCATGATAATCCATACGTTCCTCCTCTGACCGACAGATGTGCGTCCAACGCTGAGGAGTACTGCTGTTTGACTTACAGCTTGCTAAGCAACATACATGCATCAACACGTTAAACATGTAACCCACTCCTACAGGATATTAAAAACATTACCATACAAACCCCAGAAGGGTCAAGTATATAATTTGTATCTCTTATAAAGAGAAGCCTATTCTTCAAAAATAAGCAGACGTCTAATTGATCTCTTAAAATAATCTTGAAATTACACATTTTTGAAAAGATACATGATGATCTTGGTTTCCCTCTCATTAGGCTTCAACATAAACCTCCACCAGATGGAGCTCCAGCCTCACATCTCCACATCTCTGCATTGGGAGCAAACCACTAACTGAGGCTGAAGTTGGCTTCTTATTCCAATTCTGCATTGTAACTTAACTGCTGTAACATTTAAGGTAGAGCAGGAATTTTGAATAAGAGCTCCAGCTTCGTAACCACTAATTCATAAAACACAAACAAAATTATTTTATAACACTGTACAAAACACACAAGCTCAAAGCAAAACAAATGACAAACAACAAAAAAAAAGAATGAGAAAAAAAGTTCTAAAATGAATTTGTGAACTGAAACGTTTGGGCTAAAGATACAACTTAATTTCAAGGGCAGCATTAAATATGAAACTTCCTTTTATTTGTAACAAGCAAACAATTTGGAAAAAAATAAATACTGAATTTTGTCGCCTTGCGGCAACGTAGGCTTTGGTTAGGCTCTTATTAAGGTGCTTAATGTACCCATCAAAACGACCAGCACTTTCCTCTTTCAAAGCTTGCTTGTGCTTATCTGGGGAATATTCCCTAAACTCTGAATCTCTGATGACCACAGCACACAATTTACACATGAGTAAACCTAAGTGTAAACACACACACACACACACACACACACACACACACACACACACACACACACACAAAAACGAGAAGAAAAAAAAAAGGTCAAGAGAAAAATGGTCAAGTCAAAACACGCTTATAGAGATATAAACCAAAAAGTCAAGCACCTCGTGGTTCAATTTTAAGATAAGAAACTAAACTCTGCCTCACTTTAAAGTCCAAACACAAAAACACAAACTCAGTGAAATGTTTGCATCGACAGCTACGGAGCAAAACGCCTCGTAGTAAAGTGTACACTGCAATCTGCTCAGCTCTCATTAAGAAGTTCCACTGCCATGATCACCGACAGAGGAGGGGAAAAAACACTCCACTTTTAACTAAGCAACAGTTACCACAGCAACGCTAGAGCCAATCAGCTCGTCCCTCTGGGTAGAGAGAACTGGAACACACTCTGTCTATCAAGCACAGCAGAAAAAAAAACAAAAAAAACACCTGAGCTGGTCGAGCTCAGAAGAGAAAAAACATGAACAATGAACAAAGAACAAATCAAACAAGCAATAAATAAAACACATAAGAAATATTAAAAAACACGACATAACAAAAAATCATCGTTTACATTGATGAGGCCATACAAACAAAAACAAACTATAAAATGTTACTGAAGACCTCAATCTGCATAGTGACCACAGTTCCAAAGGTCCCAAAGCACTCCAGCTTCTACTCTGAGTCTCTTTCAACGTTTCTTGTGTTCAAGTACTGCAAAAAATACGAAGTGAAACACACCAATCCCACCCGGACACACAGCGAGTCAAGAGCGCATCAGTGGTGCGACTTTGTGCGTAGTCCTCAAGTTGTGATCCGCTGCTCTAGGCTACCGTCTCGGTTCTTCCTCTGGTTCTGAGCCTCCTGCACTTGAACCAGAGCTTCACTCCACTGGGGCATTGCTGGCTTTGGCCCCCGCCCGGCCAATCTGCAGCCAGGGGAGCTTAGCACAGTTCTTAAAAAGCTGTTCAATGGCAATGTGGCGCACGTGGAGCTGAGATGCTAAAGAGTCCTTCTCCTGTACAGCCACCGAAAGCTCCTCGAAGACTTCTGTGAAGAAGAAACATGAAGAAATGGAGATACAGGCACGTCAGCACTCAAAGTAGGATAGAGCAAATTTTATCTTTGGAACTTGTGACTGTCCTGGCGGTCAGGTGGTAAACGTACAGGACAAACAAAAATGTGAATGCGGTGCTATTTACACACATGAAAAATAATGGACATTCAAAGAAAATTCTGGTGCCACCTGAGACAACAGCAGAAAGGTAATCACCGTGGAATTATTTAGTTCACTGAGTTCAACAACTACACAAATACACCAATCAGGCATAACATTATGTTTCTACGCTCATTGTCCATTTTATCAGCTCCACTTACTATATAGGTGCACTTTGTAGTTCTACAGTTACAGACTGTAGTCCATCTGTTTCTCTGATACTTTGTTAGCCCCCTTTTACCCTGTTCTTCAGTGGTCAGGACCTCCAAGGACCCTCACAGAGCAGGTACTATTTGGGTGGTGGATCATTCTCAGCACTGCAGTAACACTGACGTGGTGGTGGTGTGTTAGTGTGTGTTGCACTGGTCTGAGTGGATCAGACACAGCAGTGCTGCTGGAGTTTTTAAAACACATTAGTGTCACTGAGAATAGTCCACCAACCAAAAATATCCAGCCAACAGCGTCCTGTGACCACTGATGAAGGACTAGAGTACGATTAGCTCATACTGTACAGCAAGAGATGAACTATCGTCTCTGGCTTTACATCTACAGGGTGGACCGACAACACAGGAGTGTCTAATAGAGTGGACAGTGAGTGGACACAGTGTTTAAAAACTCCAGTACCACTGCTGTGTCTGATCCACTCAGACCAGCGCAACACACACTAACACACCACCACCACGTCAGTGTTACTGCAGTGCTGAGAATGATCCACCACCCAAATAGTACCTGCTCTGTGAGGGTCCTTGGAGGTCCTGACCACTGAAGAACAGGGTAAAAGGGGGCTAACAAAGTATCAGAGAAACAGATGGACCACAGTCTGTAACTGTAGAACTACAAAGTGCACCTATATAGTAAATGGAGCTGATAAAATGGACAATGAGCATAGAAACAAGGAGGTGGTCAGAATGTTATACCTGATCGGTTTATTCTTAAACCCACTTACGCAGTTTTCAAAAGATTCTGACGTTCACCGGTGTTTTCTTATGTGGGATTTGTTCTTAGGTAAAAACAGAATCTACACACACTCGAAGAGCACAAAGGTGAGACTTTGGACCTTTCTCAAGAACAAATTTAAGAAAAAACTTAGGAAGACGCTGGTGAATGAGGCCCAATGTGCCGTTTTCTAAGTATTTCTGACTCGTTTGGTAAAAACGTTGCTTACCATATCAAAGTCAAAGGGCAATGAGTATAAACATTCAAATCTTTTAATGCCACAGATTTGTTATAAATAAAGGCCCATTATTAGCACACTGGGCTTTGACCTAAACAACTGCCATTTGGAATGTAATTTGTAGACAGTGCTAAGGTCACACAACATGGAAATCAACTAAATCAATTTCAGATAGGAAAAAAAAATTTGCAAACGATGATTTGCATATATTTTCTTTTTTGCCAACTGTTCAAAAACTGTTGAAGAAAGAAATCTTAATATGCGCAAATGAAACCAACTTCACTGCTAACAAACAAATGAAGTGTTCAGAGGAGAGAAGGGATTCTCAAAATTGAAACCTCAAAACAGCTCATTTTACTTTAAAACATATTTTTAGAGACCAAAAAAATGAATCTGACTCTTAGCAGAGATCTGCTGCCCAACTCTAGTCCGATGGGGCTCAAAACAATTTCAGGGTTCAGGCCATTTTTTCCACCCTGCCTGGGCCAGGCTCAGGTTTATTTTCTAATGAGTGATTATTTTATGTTTTATGCTTATGTCATGCGTTTTCTCTCTTGCGCTCTAGTAACATTACACTCACCCAAAGTGGGTTAAGCATTACTGCAAATGGCAGCAGTTGTAAGAGGATCTTTAGCATAGCAGGGCTAACAGCTTATCAGAGAGGAGTGAATGCTGTTGTCTGCTGGGTACAACTGTCCATTTTATCAGCTCCACTTACTGTATAGGTGCACTTTGTAGTTCTACAGTTACAGACTGTAGTCCATCTGTTTCTCTGCATACTTTGTTAGCCCCCTTTTACCCTGTTCTTCAGTGGTCAGGACCCCCATGGACCCTCACAGAGCAGGTACTATTTGGGTGGTGGATCATTCTCAGCACTGCAGTAACACTGATGTGGTGGTGGTGTGTTAGTGTGTGTTGCGCTGGTCTGAGTGGATCAGACACAACAGTGCTGCTGGAGTTTTTAAACACTGTGTCCACTCACTGTCCACTCTATTAGACACTCCTACCTTGTCGGTCCACCTTGTAGATGTAAAGTTAGACACAATAGCTCATCTGCTGCTGCACAGTTTGTGTCGGTCATCCTCTAGTCCTTCATCAGTGGTCACAGGACGCTGTTGGCTGGATGTTTTTGGTTGGTGGACTATTCTCAGTCCAGCAGTGACACTGAGGTGTTTAAAAACTCCAGCAGCATTGCTGTGTCTGATCCACTCAGACCAGCGCAACACACACTAACACACCACCATCACGTCAGTGTTACTGCAATGCTGAGAATGATCCAGTACCTGCTCTGTGAGGGTCCTTGGGGGTCCTGACCACTGAAGAACAGGGTAAAAGGGGGCTAACAAAGTATGCAGAGAAACAGATGGACTACAGTCTGTAACTGTAGAACTACAAGGTGCACCTATATAGTAAGTGGAGCTGATAAAATGGACAAGAAACAAGGAGTTTAATCCATCATGACCAACTCCAGAGTTTAGTAATGAAGCAAAGTACTGTAAAACCGTGTCTGTGGTGATCCCCCAATTTAGAAGAGGAGGTTTGGGTCAGATTCAGGTTTCAAAGCAGTGCCAGTATCACTGCAAACATCTCCCAGGGTGTTATAGCATCAAGATCAAAAGACAAGCAAGAAGTAATATGGATCCTTTCAAGAGGACTTTCAGCAGAAAATCACCATTAACAGAATACTTTAGGACTGAATGTGTTGGGTGGTCTGTGATGAATACTGAACCTTACTTTGAATCTGCAGCAGCAGTTGTGAGTTCAGCTGATGGAGCTCTTCCATGCTCATCTTCAACACTGCAAGAAAAAAAAAGCATAAACATGAACATAAGCACAGACGTAACAAATAACTGCCTTTACCGATGCTTCTATCACATTCACACAAACGCAAGATAAAACTTTTCCAGTAGAAAAGCATGCGGGAAAATGGCATGACTCAGATTTGGGCCTTGAGACGAATTCTTTTCACCATCACCAGGTTTGAAAGGCATGTGAGACCTTGGTGATGAGACTGAGCACAGCTTTTAATCACAAATGAAAGGAATGAGGAGGAGGACACAGAAAATAAGTTAAGCATGGAAGGAAAGATGGCTAGGGACTGAAAAAAAAGAGACAGAAATGTGGCTAAGGGGAATGAATGTCCTTCACATCACAATGATGTTCTGTAAGCTTTATTGAGGATACAGATGGAGAGATATCAAACTACTGATAAGAGGTTTAGAATGTCAATCACAACTTCTTTGTCTCCTTTGATCATAACACTCTTTCTCTATCTTTCTCAGCATTCAAGACGTTTAGGCTACGTTCACATTACCAAGTTGAAGTGGCACAAATCTGATTTTTTGCCCTACTGTGACTCAGATCAGACGTTTTCGGGGCTGTGTGGACACAAATCTGATCTTTTCAAATCTGACCTGAGCCACTTTTGCTACCTTCACATTACAAGCCTTGTTGCTCAAATCCGATTTTTTGCTCAAGTCCGATCTCTCTGACACGATGGTTCACACTCGTTTAGGTGATTCAAATCTGTCATTAATGTGCCGAACCGGCGTCCTGAAATGACCCTCATGCACACATCCTACTCAGTAACGTCACGTGAATGAATCACTGCATCATCAGCACGAACTAACGAGCAGAACGAGCTTTCGCTGAAAAGATAATTAACTCTGATCAGCTCTCAGCTTCAACTCAGTTCCAAGGGGTAGTGGCTGAAATCTTCCCTCTGAAATGGGACCCTCCAATAAAAAGAGCATCACCTCATTAACAGCTACCAGCGCTGCTCTGTAGGCGACCCTGCCAGTCTGCAGTGACAGCAGAGGAGGGTAAAGTTCAGCTCCTCACTGCTGGGCTTTAGTTACATTTAGGGCATCATATGGCTTCAAAGAGGGGGCAATTATTTATTATCACCCACCCCTAATTCTTCAGTGATATGAAGCTGAAGTCAGATATTCACCAGCTTCTTGTTTGAATTTTCCCGTTCCACCTTAAACGGAGCAGCAGTTACATTCTGGTGCTTCAGGCGTCAGAACTGCTGGACTATTTAAGGTGGAACGGGGACATTAGCATGCTATTAGAGATTTCTATGCTTGTTATGAAGAAAACGACCATAATACACTGAAACAACATTAAACTAAGATAATGATGGTTATCACAATTTTTTTACAGGGAAAATTCTCATATTTGTGGGTTTCTTTGGTCTCTTGTTCTCCATCTTGCCGGTTTTTCTTCTTTCCCTCATATCACTCTGTTTGGAGTCTCTGAAAAACCTCCGTTTGGAGGGCCATGTAGCCCCAACACTTCACCCTACCCCTCTATCTCAATAAGAATCAGGACACCCTACCCCTAGACGTAATATCTGATCACTAGTACTCACATTCCTCTCGGCTGTGTCCAGTGTGTCGCCTCGGTCTGGCCCCCTCTCTCTGTTCTCTTCCTCCCTGCTGCTGCAGTGTGTGGTTCTGTTCACTCCTCCACAGTTCTTGCCCGGAGCCCTGCAGGAGGCCCAAATCCTCTACCTCGCCTGCGGACACCTCCTCCGTCCAGCGCGGGGCGTAACGGGGCACCTGCGCATCTGACTGGGCCACCAGCTTTCCATCACCCTGCTGGCTGTAGCACAGGAGCTGGTGCTTAGAGCCCCATCGGCCAGACGCGTCCAGGGATCCAGAGTCTCTGTTCTGGGCGTACTGCACAAGGCGGCTGATCCGCTGGCTCAGGGCCCGCTTCACTCCCTCGTAAGCGCTGCGAGAGGCCTTGGTGCGGGACAGCTTCTGATTGGCGATGAGGTGATACTTTTCAAAGCAGTCTCTGTGCCCTCGCAAAGACGTGGAGTGCAGCAGAGTGGCAGTGGAAACACCTGCAACACAATAATTTGACAAAATATATGCAGGTTTCAACATTTATAGCAGGGTATAAAATGTATGGGAGCACTACTGAACACGCTTCTGTTTGGCACTGGTTTCTAATTCAATAAAATGTTTTATTACCAATTATATTAGGAGCATAACAATTAGAGTGATCTTTGAAATAATAACATGAACTTCAGAAGTCAAAGAATGTCCCTCTGTTTAATGACACTGATGACTGAGCACACTCGAGCTGGCATGGACTCAACAAGTTTGTGAAAAGCCTCTGAAGAGCATGGTCACAATCAATATCGCGAATTTGCTTTAATTTGAATAGTGACCTAGATACTGTACAAAATCTTGAATATTTCCCTTTTTTCTGTTCTTATTTAGTTTGAGTCTATTTTTTTTTAAGCTCAGTGTGCTTTGAGGAGAACAGTAACTCACAATAAAGTTACATCAGCTAACAGACTAGCTCACTGACTAGCGTAATGCTGAGTGGGGTGGGGAGTTGGAGGTCAAGTCAAGGATGGCTGTAGCATCACCTGGGATCAAACTCACAATCTACTAACCAGTCCAACGCTCAGATTGAGCCACTCAAGACTCAAGGAATAGAAATTGTAACCCTTCTAAAAACACAAATAAACACACAAAGGCTACAGCAGACTTGGCCTTTCTGTAGGCATCTGACAGGGCAGACATAACGACAATTCTGGGACAGCAGCTAAATGCTTTTAACACACACAGAGAGAGAGAGAGAGAGAGAGAGAGAGAGAGAGAGAGAGAGAGAGAGAGAGAGAGAGAGAGAGAGATTTGGAGCAAAACCGAGAGGCAGATTGCACTATTCTGATGGCCAGGCAAAAGCAGCTTAGCTGTCAAAGGATTAGCCTTTCAAGCAGGGAAAAGCCTGGCTGTACACACAGACACACACACACACTCAGACACACACACACACACTCAGACACACCCACCCACACTCAGACCCACTCACCCACCCGCTCAGACACACACACACACACACACACACTCAGGCACACACAGACACTCAGACACACACACACTCAGACACACACACACCCGCTCAGACGCACACCCGCTCAGACTCACACATGCACACACACACTCACACACTCAGACACTCACACAACACACTCAGACCCACACTCAGACCCACTCACACACACACTCAGACACTCACACAACACACTCAGACCCACACTCAGACCCACTCACACACCCGCTCAGACACACACGCACACACTCAGACACACACATACACCCGTTCAGACACACACACACACACACACATACACCCGCTCAGACACACACATACACCCGCTCAGACACACACATACACCCGCTCAGACACCCACCCACTCAGACACACACACACACCCACCCACTCAGACACACACAACGCGGTATATCTCCAGCCATGAACGTGAGTTGTGTTTAAACTTGTTCAGTCAAATTTGAGCGATTTTGTGTAAACATTTAGTTTTAACTGTAAGCCTTCATTAGGGCTGGACGATTAATCGGGAAAGTAATCGAAACAGACATTCGGAACCTCTAACTGACGTAATCTTGCCCATGTCGGTTATTTAGATTTTTTTTTAATTCTGTTAATCCTTTCACGAGTGTGTCGTCACATGACTGTGCCATGTCCAGTCTGTGACATGGAAGCTAAGGCTACATTCACACAGCAAGTAGAAGTGGCCCAAATCTGATTTTCTCACCAAATCTGATTTTTTTGTTTGGCTGTTCAGATTATCTTTTAAATGTGATCTGTATGCGACATCAGTCTGAACAGATCAGCTCCTAAACTGACCCACTAAAGAACAGAGCGTCGCGCTGCTTCACGGCTCATCCAGAGGTAAACAATCACAACCGCCAGCGAACGCCAGTCGCTCCCGGAGGATCAGCTTCATCTTCACCAGCATCACAGGAGCCATAATGAAGCTTCACTGACTGACAGATGGGCTCATCACCCAAAATGTGTTAACGTAAAAGTCGTGTGAATTCCGATCTGGCTGTTGAGACGATTTACATTAAGATATGCAGAGCATATTTACAGTACAGACCTTGTCAGTAAACTATGAGGGCAGAAATACAAACAAACAAACCACCCCCCCGCAAATAATCGTTTATTAATCATAATTGAGGCAAAACATTCAATTAATCGTGATATTGATTTGAGGTCATATCGCCCAGCACTACCCTTCGTCCAGCTCCCCCGTGTGTTCGCAGAGAACTATGTTTATTATGTCACCAACATAACAAACATAATAATAAACATTTAGTCGACTAAGCCGATTACCAATGCACCCCTAGAAGTGAGCTATAACTTAAAAGACTGCGCTGTGCTATTTGAAGTTATAAAGTGATTGTCAGGCCTGTGGACAACATGACAGACAGTCCAGTCTTTGTAGGAGATGACAGGACCCCCTGGTGAAGTTAAACAGCTCAGATGTGCCATTACTTTGGACTGCTGACAGCTCAAAACGAATGCAGGTGAATTGAGAGCTTCTCTCAAATGGTCCTCTCGTGTCCAAGCAGCTCACTTCTGGTGGCACGCACTGGAATGCAAAAGAATGGGGTCCATAGATGGGGCCTTATTTATTATCCGCACCCCTGCATTTTAGCACAGGAAGTCGGACTTCATCCCTGTCCCTCATGGCTAAACGGTCTGCAGTTAGTTCTCATTGTTTTGAAGTATAAGTATCCCAAAATCTGAAAATCAGTGTATAACAATAAGAACTGTCACTATTGAAACATCCTTTTGCAACTTTATGTTTTAATAAAAATATTATGATTTTATTAGTGTACAGCTGTTCAAAGCTGTGTTTGCTGGCTAGTGTTTTTGAGCAGTGCTCAAAATTACTGAAAACGGTCATCGTCGAGACAGTCTCGACCAAAATATTTGGTTTCGGTAGTGTTATTATTGTATGGGTAGTGACAAAATATTATTTAGATACCAAACATAATTAAGGTATATGGGTCATTCAATGAGAAAGGAATTCAGTCAATCATTGGTCAGTTAAAAGTCAGAAATGTGTTTTAACTCTGACTTTGAACCAACTGAGCGCCCGAGTGGCCAGTGCAATTGTTTTTAATCTTTTGTTTTACATTTACATATCTATATACTCGCTGTTGTCGGAAGAAAACCTTGCATCTCCAAAATGGTAACTTTACAGGAGAAGGAAAAAACCTCCTTTACTTTGTAAAGTAAAGTAATTTTTGGTCATTTCTTTCGGTCCATTCATCATGAAATTTACACAAAATGTAAAGGGCAACAGGCATTTTTAAATTACGTCAAAAACTGAAAAACAACAAAAATGGAAATACAAGGGTTTCTTTGTTAGTAAATATGCACTTCTTTTTGTGAGAACGTGTGTGTATGTCTGTGTGTGTTGACTGCAAGATAAAAGAAGTTTAGGAGGAAAGAAAAAAAAATCCTTCAGATTTGTGTGTGAAGTCCCAATAAACACAACATCTGAGAGAATATACAAAACACATTAAAATAAAATCTGATCTTTAATTTATAGCGTATTTCAAACATGCTTTCCAGAGTAAGAGAAGGAGAAAAACACAACATGGAAAATAACACTTTAAATAACACGGACAAGCTGCTTGACTCTTACGCGGCCTTCAGCTTGATCTGCTACTGAAAAGAGGAAGTTAAAGAGTGAAATTGAGCAACAGCCTGAGATTCGGCCAAGCGTGCCGTTCAAGACAGAAGCTTCCCTTTTATACTGACCTAGGACCAGCACCCCCGGTCCAAACACTGAACCTTATTAGAGATTTCACATATGTAATCTCGGATCGGTGTAAGATGTCACGCTCTGACAACATCTCACTACTGAAGATCAGCTCCTGAGAAATACAGCACTTCCTGTTTTTACTGTAGAGAAAATAACACCTGTGAGAAAACTAACCCTGATCTCAAATCTGACAAGACAGTGGAAAAAATACAGACAACAAAGAGAGGCTCTGTGTTTATTTGTGTCAGTCTCTCTTGATTATGAGCCAAAGCATGTTGCTGTGCCCCAATTTACCATTCGAGACACCATCTAAAAAGGCTTTGGGGTCTGCTTGTCCACACATACAGCCTAAAGCTGTAAGAGCGCTGCGTTTTCTCTCGTTTACCTTAAAGCTTAAAGTGTATATATACACACACATGTATATACACTGATCAGGCGTAACATTAAGTCCACCTCCTTGTTTCTACGCTCATTGTCCATTTTATCAGCTCCACTTACTATACAGGTGCACTCAGTGGTCAGGACCCCCATGGACCCTCACAGAGCAGGTACTATTTGGTTGGTGGAACATTCTCAGCACTGCAGTAACACTGAAGTAGTGGTGGGGGTGTTATAGTGTGTTGCGCTGGTACGAGTGGATCAGACACATCAGCACTCCTGACCACTGAAGAACAGGGTAAAAGGGGGCTAACAAAGTATCAGAGAAACAGATGGACTACAGTCTGTAACTGTAGAACTACAAAGTGCACCTATATAGTAAGTGGAGCTGATAAAATGGACAATGAGCGTAGAAACAAGGAGGTGGTCAGAATGTTATGCCTGATCAGTGTGTGTGTGTGTGTGTGTGTGTGTGTGTGTGTGTGTACACACACACACACACACACACACACTTTCCTCCCCTACATAGCAAGGTTAGGCTCAACAACAGGAAGAAACACTTCAGAGCTCAATTCCAGACAAAGCAGATCGGATGTTCAAGACATTAAGGACTCACTACATACACAAACACTCAGCCAGAATAAAGCCTGAATAGAACAGACAACACCCTTAAGACAAAAGCACTTTTTTCAAAGCAAAAAAGGAGAACTGCCTGATCAAATTTATTTACGCTGACTGCAATCATTTTCCACAGTTTACTATCAAAGTCATATGTTTACACTGCAACAGACTGAATAAAAATGGGTGCATTTCTGCATTTTGAGGCAAACGCATGTAAAATAAGGCAGAAAACATATTTATTGAGACACACT